CAGCAGTAAAGAGGCATCAGCAATAACATAGCCCTCTTGATTCAGATTTGGCTGATGTGTAAAAACAGATAGCACTGGATGACATGGCTATGTAGATTCATATTATTTTCCCCTTTCTTGTGTATCTGAGCCTTATAAGTTTGAATCCGCAGTATTTTACAGATGTCTCTGGGCACCAAGCTCAGATACAATGTTCTTCCCACAGAGAGAAAAAGAGGAGTCATGATTATGATATATAGAAAATTTTGAAAGGTTGTATTGGTAGTTTGGTTTGAATTATGGAAGCATCCTTTCTAAGACAGTGTGTTTGAATGAAAAGACTATTACAGTGGGCAATAAGGTGCTGTTTTTGTGTCTTTGGAATGTGTTAGAGAAAAGCATTGATCTGAGTTATGTATATGCTTCCAAATAACTTTGCAGAAACAAAATGGTGACAGAATTGAATAGCTATGGCTCTACTCTAGTCTGGTTCATTGCAGCTTGTCAGGAAGCTTCCATGAAATGATCTCAGGTGCTATTGAAAATTTAGGACACTGGGACTAAAACTTCTTGTTAAATTTTATGTGTCTTTGATTCTTTTATTTCTCCCTTTAATCAAGTAAATACCTTAAAATTGTGTCTAAGAACTGACATTTTCTTTTCAAATATTAGTGAGGTTTGAAAAATAACCTTTTAATAGCTATCTCTCCCTAGTGGAAAGAGAATTGCTTTAGGGAACTGGGTCCAAATTCCATTTTTTAAAAAACTGCAAACAAGGTACTTACTTTCTTCAGCTTCAGTTTTCCATCTCTAAAATGGTGTCTGTAATACCTACCTGATAGTGTTATCATGGGAAATAACTTTGATGGAAACTTCTGGAAAGAAATAGGAGAATCAATAAATGTTCTCCCTTTTACAAGGTATCATATGCTAAGTACTGATCATATATGTAAACCATTTGATTTTTTTTATATTCTAGAATGACAGATTATGTTAAATAGTATTCTTGGTGTTCATCATGCAAAAAAAAAAACATACAACTGATTACTTGCTCATATCAATGATGATGTAATGATTTTATTACTTTGAGAAGCATGCCATTTAAGTTTTCTTGATGTTCTTGCCTCAGGAGACTATGCTTTATTGAAAAAGTTTGCTCAATCGCAGTGTTTGCCATGGTTAACTATGTGATTATACATCATTATTGTCTTAAATTCCCAAACTGATTGATGCTTGCAGCATGGGAATTAAATTTAAATCATTCATTTTTGGTGACCTGCTATAGAAATTAACCTTGTTTTGATCAAATAATATTTTATAATCACTTAAATAATCTTTCTTTCCCTGTGCTATAATGAGTCCTTATAATAGTCTGGCAAAGGCCATTGTCCAGCCCCATTCTTCAACAAATTACATATCTTGTAAAAAAAAAAAGTTATTCATTTACTTATGAAAAGCTTTAAATTTTATTTAAAATATAGAATTTATTCTCAGGGTTAAAAAAAAATGGAGGCATCTAGATTTAAAGGTCTAGCTAGAATCACAGTTTAACTAGATTAAAACTTGATGTCAAGAAAGTGGGAAAAGTAAGATACCAAACTATATCTCGGATGGTCTTGAAGGCAAAAATTGAAGGCTTTTAATCCTAATTCTAACACTAACTACCCGAGTGGCCTTAAGTAGATGAATGAGCTTTCTGTGAATCCATTTCCATTTCTGTAAAAAAAAAAAAAAAAGGTGCAATGCGTCTTAGACCTACTCACAGTGTAGTTCATTTTAGAAACGCACTCCCACATACTCAGCTACCCTGAGGAGGACAGAACTTGCTCCTGAGTCATCTGTAAGATTTGGCTTCTCTAGTTAACCCTTGGGGGCTTATTTTCCTAACATAGATCTTGAGCTCTCAACTTAATTCTAGAAACTACGCCATGGTACCAAAGTGCTCCAGAACAAAATCACCGATGCCTTTAACAGTTGTAGAGAAAGGAATAATGTACCTTTTACAATTCTCTATTCTATTGAACTGTGGTCTTCAGAGCTTTCAGCTAAAGGCTAGTTATTGATTTGATACATAGTGTATTTTTAAATGTGCTCATTTTTAGAAAAAAAAAGTTTTACCTTCTTCTAACAGAATTATTCTTTATCTTGAAAAATGGGGCATAAGTAAAATCCTAAATCAGAGTATGAGGGTGCATGGTAGACCATTGTGGCCATGTCTAATATAGACTTTGTTCTCCGAGATAATTGTGTAGGATACAGGTATTCTACAGAGGCTGGCTGGCTTGCTTGTTTTTCTTTCTCCTTTTCTTCTCTTTCTTTTCTCTTTTCTTTCTTTTCTCTTCTTTTTTTCTTTTCTCTCTCTTTTCTCTTTCCTTCTCTTCTATTCTCTTCTCTTCTTTCTTTCTCTTCTCTTCCTCTTCTCTCTCTCTCCTCTCCTCTCCTCTCCCTTCTCTCTCTCCTCCTCCTCTCCTCTCCTCCCTACACCAAAAAAAAAAAAAAAAAAAAAAAAAAAAAAAAAATCCTCCCCTCCCCTCCTCCCTCCCCTCCTCCCTCCTCCCTCCCTCCCTCCTCGTCTCCTCCCTTCCTCTTTTCTTTCTTTCTTTCTTTCTTTCTTTCTTTCTTTCTTTCTTTCTTTCTTTCTTTCTTTCTTTCTTTCTTCTGGCTTTACAAGCTCAGGAAAGAAATAGTTGAAATCTGAACATATTCTCAATAGCAGAGAAGTTACACATTCTCAATAGCCAAGAAATGTAAATTGATAGAAGAAAGACATTCCCAAGTTATTCTATCATTTTAAATTGGGTAGCTGAGAGTAAGAACAAGACTTACAGTATGGATCAGATCAATGCTGAGCATAAATAGCAGTTTTCTTTATTCCGTGTATTATATGTAGCTGTCATTGTGCTTAGTTTTGTTTTTTTTATCAAGAGAACCAACTTGCTGAATTTGATGTATCTATTTATGCATATAACTTGCCTATTCCGAAAACAACTTGAGCTGGCTTACAGTAAAATCAGAGTAAAACCAAAAATGATGAGTCCAAATTAAAAAGAACTTCTGGTTCATTTGCATTTCATCACAACTTTTTGATCCTTTATTATAAATATATGCTTAGCTTCTTTAAATGTATTTTTCTTTTTATATTTGCTTTTAAGCCATTATTTGTCACATTGCTTCGAATGACCTGTAATGCATTACTATAATGCACAGACTGCCTGTTTTCAGATTCCTGCTTCTGTACTTGTTGGTGTCTAAGATAAACAAGCTGGACACTAGTTAAAATAATAAGAACAGATTTTATTCAGTAGTAATTTTTGCAGTAGGGAAGAGGGTCCAGTGTGAACTGAACTCTCAAAACGGAAGGGAGGAGTCCTTTTAAAGGCTGGCGTGTGCTGAGGGAAAAGCACTAAGGCGTGTGAAAGGGATTTTTCCATGTGCCTGAGACATCTGGGTTTGTTAATTGCCACTTATTGGGAGGAGAAACAAACTTCTTGTATCTTTATGACAGGAGGCAGTGGGATAGGTTAAGTAAAACAAGGTGCCCACTGGGCTGGGAGCTAAACATAGCTATCTCCTTCAATGTGACAAGCCACTTTGGGCTGGTAGAAGGTCTATATTTCAAAGGGTCACAGAAGAAATTTATAGTTGCAAGCTTTCTAAAGTAACTTCTCTAAGAGGAGATTCAGGGGCCCATACGTATTACCAGGTTTTGTCTGGAACAAACAATAAATTTCCCTAGCACCATTGAAGTTTCTTAAGCAGGCATCTTAAGGGATGATGGAGTCTTCCAAGGATGTAGCCTTGAGCTGTTAGAAACTATGATAGTATTTGTTCAAGTCTCTTAATGTATCTGTTGGGGCAGGGTGAGGGTTGTAAACGAAATCATTTGAACTGAGAGTCTGAAGTTTTTGTAGGCCAAGACTGAGTGAGGCCTAATCAAGAACAGTGCTAAGAGGAGCTTGACTAGAGTTTGGTGAAGGAGAGAGTCTTTGCCAATAGCTAGGGCATCTTTACGAAGTTACTTAACCTTGACTTGCCTCAGTGTCCTTGTCTGTAAAATGAAGATAATAATAGTACCTGCACAATGGGAATTGCTTGAGGATTAAAGGAATTAACTCATGTAAAGTGCTTAGAACAGTACTGGGACATAGTAAACTGTCAATAAATGTTTGTAATTATTCTTATTATCCATGGTCTCTATCCATGTTGCTAGATAACCATGTTGGTTGATTCTAGGACTGTACAATAATAATCTAGGAAGTATGAGTTATTAAATGAGTGGAGCCTATATTTGTATTGGCCTATATTTGTATACAATTATATACGATAGCATATACTTTACTACAGATGGAACTAGAGTGCACAGATCAGCAGAAGCCCATTGCCATTAAATTGCAACTTTTATCACTAAAAAGTCTTGATATAAATATATTTGATAGTGAAAAATGACCATTTAGATAAGAGACCAATAACTGGAAAAGAAAGAATAATTTGAGTTAATGTTGATTTCTTCAATGTACTGCATAAAAATGTTAAAGAAAGAACAATCAAGTACAATATTACATTTTAAGACCAACTCTTATTCATTATACTTCTCTAATTAATATTTAGGGCATTTGCAGATTGATTCTGGAAATTAAATATTTAATTTTGCAAGCAGCAAAGATGGTCAAAACTAACTCTTACCATTTTAGAATCAAATGCATTAAATTGTCCCATTCTTTTTATGTAAGCATCTAAAATGTTGCCTTTTAACTATGACAATTTTAGACATATCACTCACAGTTGGTTTTCTAAATAGTTTCTAAAGTTGTTCAGGAAAGTGTCTTAGGAAAACTTTTAGGGCACCTAAGTTCTAGACTTAGCCCTTCCACTAACCTGCCACCCAGCACTCAGCAGGTAACCTCACCTCACTGAACCAGTACTTCTTTTTCAGTCATAGAGGCCATGCTTGCAATAGTTATACTTTCTTCCTTACTAGCAGCAGTTTAATTCAGATTTTGTATCTTTCTTTTTTTTAATAGTCTGATACCTACTTCTGCATGTCAGTGCGTTTGCCAGTGGATGAGGAAGCCTTCGTGAGTAAGTATTAATTGGATGGTGTGTGTGTTTGGGGTGGGGGTGGGGGCAGGCAGCTATTCGAAGTCAGTAAAAGGTTCTCTTTGATGGTTATGAGCATATTAATCTTTTACTGTCAGTTTCTAAAATGCATTTATCATGCCTAATGCAGAAACGAACTAGAGAGAGCCACTGAGAGACAAGATTACAAACTGTATCTGGAGAGATTCATGAGTAATAGTAGTTAAGGAGTGGCATGCAGATGTCAATGGCTGCCAATCCCGTGTGGTCCCATTTGTATAGTATTGGCTTTCTGTCTGTGGCAGGATGCTTAATTCCGCTCCGCTCAACAGACTGTTTATTTACCTGCTGGTTCATGCTATAAATTGACTGCACTTAAAATCAGCATTGGTGAATATAAGATTTTACCTGTCAGACAGGTAGATAGATGGATAGGAAGGAAGGAAGGGAGGGAGATCAGGCGTAGGAGGGAGGGAGGAAAGGAGAGAAAGAAAAGACAAAGAAGGGAGGTCAGGAGGCAGGCAGGGAAAGAGGGAAGAAAGAACATTCATTCTGTTGTTTATATTATAGAATAAGAGAAGTCTTAAATGACAGGACCTTCCCCAACTGAGACTTTGAATCAGATAGGAAAAGTGACAAAGCACCATCTGTTTCCATCTAGGTTGTTTTAATTTAAACATCCCTTATGACAGACTTTTAACTGTTCAGGGAAAAGATGTGATTGGCAAATTATTCATGGATTTGCTTTTTTTCCATGTCACTTTTCTGGTTTGAGATGTTGATTTTGGAGAGAAAGTGGTGGTAATGAGAGTTGTACTTTGGCCCCTTGAAACTAATCTTCAAGTGGGCTGTCTGAAACAGCTATTATGCGAATTGTAAAATGTGTATAGTAGTTTTGGGGCAGTCTGAGGATGAATTTTCATGAGGTGTTTCCCACAGGAATGTACATTATAGACTTGCGAAGCCAGAGCACTGTGCATGTATTTTTCCCCACACACTTAGGTGGCAATCACAACAGAAAATACAACCTCTAACAATACTCTCAACAAATTTTGCGGCATAGTTAATTCCTAAGAATGAAAATCAGACCATGAGAAATTGAGCATTGCCTGACTGTTGTTTTTCATAATATTTGGACATTAACAAGAAAAAAGGAAGGACAGTGCTCTCAAGTCCTGAACTGAATAACTTTAAAGACAAAAATAATGTAAGTTTCTCATTGTTGTGTTTTGAGTAGCACTAAATATGACTTAGAGTATAAATTCATAATTAAAATATTAAAGCTTTCTTTAATTTTATTTCCACATTTTTGGCCACCTAGAAGAAAATAATATTTACTCATAAAAGGAATTTTACATGATTTTTTTCTTTACTAATTTATATTTTGTGTGTCCAAGTTGAGGGATAGCCTGGATTCCTCGTGTTTCACATTTATGTGGAAGAGAAGGCCACCCTGCACACCTGTGCAAACATGGTAGTCATGTGTCACAGCAGTTTTACGAATCTCATGTTAATAGGTTACTGGGTTGTTTCTGGAGGATGGTGGTAGTATATGCTTTTAGAGCTGGTGACACCAAGGACTATAAATATATATCCTGGAATGTGTTATGGCTCACCTAATATAAATGTTTACTTTCACCTAATTTAAAATTGGAAAGTACAAGTGAATACATTCAGTTAAGTTAAACATTCATAGGAAACACATAAAGGTCTATATTAGAACAGTTTCTGCATTTTCTTAGGCAACTCTCTTCTAAGATTAAAATATTCCAAGTTCTAAGGTCCTTGAGAGGTCTTCTAAGATTAATAACTATTTTCAGTATTTCTTCTTTTCCTTATTGTTTGGGGGATTGCATGTATACTAAAGATTTTGTTTCTTGTTCAGATGGGTTTTTTCATCTTCAATGTGAGTCCTTTAACTTTCTATGCCCAAGTGATTTGTGGTTGTCATTGTTTACCTAATCCAGCAACCACAGATGTTTAGATCTAGGCAAATTAGAACTGGAAATGGAAAACCAAAGAGAAATACCAAATAATCATTCATATAAGGGGGATAAATAAAAAATTTTTGCATGTATTGTCTCATTAATTCTTAAGATAACCCTATAGATAGTCTCATTTTATAGCTACAGAAACAGAGATAGGAACATCTATATCTTTGATTTCATTAGGTGCTAGTACAATAGTTTGCATGGAATTCTTTTTTTTTTTTTAATAAATCATTAGACCACTACATCATCCTACCTGACACTGTTTGCTGATGGCCTGACTTTAAGACACTGAAAGCTAAGCTTATTTAAGCCATTTTTTTAGAAGACGAAACAGAGGGTCAGAGAATTTAAGATATCTGCCCAAGCTTTTTATTAGTTATGTGTTAACCTAGTCGTATGCCATTTAAATTATAACAGATTTGAGTGTGGGGATAGTGAATCAAAGGAAGAAATGAAAGAAGTTATCAAGTGAGTAGATGGAACTGAAATGTAGCAATAGCACATCTCTGTCTTCCTCACATCAAATGCAATTATTCTTTCATTCCCTTACCTTCACTCCCTACTGGGAACACTCTGGCCAATTCTGCCAAAAAAATAAAACAAACCTGAAACCATCTTAGAAAACAAATCCCAATACGCATGAAGTTTTAAAGATAGGTAGAAGGAAAGGGGCTTGGATATAGAGCTGATATGTTGGGAAGTGATCACATTGCTTTTTCACACTCCCAAAGTGAAAATTTTGGTTGTTGAGTAACCAAGACTTTTCCATTCTAAGGTATTCTGATAACATAAAGAATGAGGCTTTAGTCTTTTGGTGGATTGTCCCAAATTTTAGATCTCAGGATACCTTATCATAAGATTAGATATTTTTGAAAATGAAGACTTATAAAGACTCATAATACTTTGTTCATTCATTTAAAAAATAATAATTTTTACTTTTTTTATAGCCATTCTGTTTGGTCATTCTTAAGACACTTAACTATTTTATACCTTTTTTAAATTATCTGTGTCTTTTAAAATTTTTGAATCCCAGTAGGATATATGACACAGGATATGGTAGGAACTCAATAATTGCTTGCTGAATGCATGAACAAACAGTAAAAAACCGTTTGGTTTTTATTTTGGCCATTTTCTAACTCGGCATTTCAAATAGTAGAAAATCTACCTTTTGCCTTAAATGATGTCTTTTGTTTTAATGTAAGTAATAATTGGGTTTTTTTTTTTTTTAAAGAAAAGCCACTTGTTCATTAATTTAGCAAACTTTTAAAATTCTGCTGCATGCCAGTTATTAGGGTAGGCAATGGGGATGTGAAGTATGATACAAGTTCAGGGAAGACACAGCCTAGCAGAATTCTAGAAGACAAGAATAAGAATGTTAAAACATATAAAAAGTCCTTTCTCCTTGCACTTTTCAAATTTCTGAAGAAAATCACACAGTACAATTCACACTGGTTATTAGGACTAAGACAAACTTTCTTGATGGTGTTAAAAGTCAAAATTGGGTATGAATGACTTACAATTTTGACTTTATGTTTATGTGACTGTTTATATAATGCATTTTAAACATACTTCTTAATTTTGAGAATATACCATCACAGTTGTCATGGAATTCATTTGTGTATATGCCTATTACATTTACATGTGGACATACTACCTGGATAATGTGTTTATATATTTGTGCTGAATTATTAAATGCAGATTAAAGTAGGTATTTGGGGAAATACTGTAATGGCGATGAGAATGATTTTTATATTTTGAACAAAAGCATAGCTTTCCCTAGAGCATTGCTTTTGTTTATTGTTTTAATAAGAAATCACGGAATTGGAATGGGTGAAGGTATGATAAAATCTGCATTTGACCACTGAACTGTGGTGCTGTCTAAAAGGTGTTTTACAGACACTCAGAGGAATTGGCTTTGACAGCAGTCCACTCAGCCAAGAAATTTGACTGTCATCTTCATCCACTTGCTTTCCCTCACATGGATGACCTGTAAATAAATGTGTCTTTTCCTTAGTGAATGATGGCAGGTCCCTATCTATCAAATTGCACTATACAAATGAGAAAGAAGCCACTGAATTTAGAAATAGATTAAATTAATCTAATGATTCATTGTTTTTCATTTTCTGGGCTTCTCTCTTGAATGTAAAACAATTTCTGCGTGCAGAATTGCATAGTTATTACAGATTGGAAGATTTCCAAATGTGACCTTTCTTAAACAAAGCACATGATCAGATGATGTTGGGATACTCTGAGAACTGCATGAACAGTCTAATTTTGATCATGCTTTTGGGTCATCAGATAGTGTGACTATAAAGAATAAAGTCATGGAGGGTACATTGCTCATATATCCACATTTTATGGCTTTGACAGCAGTAAATAGAAGAATATATGTGGGGGTGGGTGTGTGTACATGTGTATGAATCCCCATCCCCGTGCAATCACGCTATCACCTTTCTGCTTCCAATTAGTTGACTGAGTATCCTTTCCCTTCTCTTTTCAATTAGAATTTTTTTCCAACATGAATAATGAATAGTCTCTGTCTCCCAGATGACTATTGAGTACCTTCCAGCAGACACCCTGGGAAGCTCTTCTAGTTTCTTAGTGAAAGCTACATGGAAAGAGTTATTATCAATAGCACAGATAAGATACTCTGATGAGTAGATAGAACCCAATTTGTTTGGTCATAATCGTGAAGGAGTTGTTGCTGCTATATACTCTCTTTCAGAATCGCAGAGTATTTATTGTGTGTCTTGTTTCCTTTGGTCACCCAAACACCCATGTTTCCAACATGACAACCTCCAAGAAGTTCCAGGCTTTCATTAGACAATAAAAAAAAAAGGGTGGGAGGGGAGTAGGAACTATACTTTATAAAGCAGAGGATTAGGAATGTCTTTAATTAGGTACATCCAGTGAGCACCAAAAAATAATCGACATGTTAACATAGCTATTTTAATGCAGAGACGTCAAAATGACCCCTCACCTACCCCCAGTGAAATGGCCAATTTAGGCAGC